CTGGGATCTGTGTGCAAGACTGTCCCCACAGCAGCACATCTCCTTCTGGGGGGCCAGGGCACACCACAGCCTCTGCAGCATCTCTGGGGGTAAGGAGGGCTCTGAGCAATGGCAGCACAGCACCCAAGTCCAGTGCTGAACCCATGCTCCAATTCTCATTCCTCATTTCCCTCTGTAAAAGAGCCATGGAACCTGTCCATGAGTGTGCTGTGCATCCTCCACGCTGCCCATGGTGTAGGGACAGGCTCTGCTGTACCTTGCTTGGATTTTTGCATGGAATCCCACATGACAAAGAGCTGCTGAGGGCTGGGACCCTTCAGCAGCACTGTCCCCACCTACAGCAGTTGCTGTGCTCTGGAACAGCCCTCACAAGTCATTTAGTGAACTGGTGTGATGAGATGTAGATCAGGCATTGTTTTCTGACATCAGGTTGAATCTTTCCTCCTTGCTGGACACCTGAGCACAGCAGCTCAGCAGCCCTGGGCTCACTGCATTTTACCAGCAAGCTGGGGAGTTACAGATAATTAAAGCTTTGCAGGACTGGGGAGTTACTCATCAAATTCACTGACAATGGTGATTTCAGCAGCACCTCGGGAGCTGCAGAAAGAAAGAAGCAAATGGCATCTCAGTGAATGCTAGAGAAACATGCATCAGCCTTCCTACAGCTGCCATATGTTCCTTCCTTCACTGCTCACTTCTCACAGGCCCCTCTTGACTTTGTTAGAAATATTTTTGGTACTGTGTCTGTGTTTACCTTGCTGAAGCATTTATGAGCCACATAATGTACAGGCTGCATGGGCTTCCTCCTAGGATGTTGTTGTTTTGTTTCTTTTTAACCAAGAGTGGAAATCCTTTTTGGTTTGGAAGCATTTGATTGGGTGTGAAGTGAGTTTCTTGAAGATGTCCCACGCCCCAGGAACTGGGGAGAAATCATAAAAGCCTGTGCTGTGCCAGGCACTGGGAAAATGCTGTCTAAACAAAGCTGTGCAGATGTAAACTTAGGGAGATTTGTGGGGCAAAGCACCTCTCTCAAGGCACTTAGGCTGCAAGAAGCCCAGGTTTGCTGTTGTTCAGTCATGCTCTAGATATGGGGTGCTGTCACTGTCATATTTTCTGGAAAAATCCCCTTGCCCAGGATTTTTTTTCCTGGGAAGCTGAGAAGCCTCAGAGAAAAAGGAAAATAATATTATCTGATTGCTTCTCCCTGTTTTGCTGCTTTGGAATGTGTTTGGAGATTGTTTATCCAATAGGTGGATGTGTGATTTTTTCATGGGAATTGTTTTAACTTAATGACCAATCACAGCCAGCTGTGTCAGGACTCTGGAAGCAGTCATAAGTTTTCATTATCATTCTTTGTAACCTTCTGTATGTATCCTTTCTCTATTCTTTAGTATAGTTTTAGTATAGCATTCTATAATATAATATAATATAATATAATAATAATAAATAAGCCTTCTAAGTACATGGAATCAGATTCTCAGTTCCTCCTTCATCGTGGAGACCCTGAAAATACCACAGGGTGCTCCTTTTTTGGGTTGTGCTTGGAGGATGAATCCCTGCTGTCTGAGCTGTGTGCCCACCTTTAGTGCCTGTGTGATAAAATATAGCATTATCCCAGTCAAAAGGAAATGGAAACAGAATGGTTTGGGTTGGAAGGAACCTTAAAGATCATCTTGTTCCAGCCCTGGGCAGGAACACCTGTCCTGTCTCTAGACCAGGTTGCTCATCCAGCCTGGCCTCATACACCTGCAGGGACTGCACAAAGAGCCCCTCCAGCTCTGATTTCCTCCTGTTTTCTCTCCCAGCATCATTTACGAGGTGACAGGGATGTGGCTCTTTGGGAAGCTCTTCTGCAAAGTCTGGATCTCCTTCGATGTCATGTTCTGCACCGCATCCATTGTCACGCTGTGCTTCATCAGCCTGGACAGGTACTGCTCCGTGGTCACCCCCTACCACTACTCCAGGAGGATGTCCCGGGGCAGGTGAGTGCAGCTGCTCCTCCTTTTGGCTCCCTCCAGGCTGTCCCTTGGACATGGCCTGTCACTGTCATATTTTCTGAAAAATCCCTTCACCAGGATTGCTTCTCCTGGGAAGCTGAGAAGCCTCAGAGAAAAAGGAAAACAATAATTATCTGATCTGCTTCTCCTGTGTTTTGCTGCTTTGGAGTGTGGTTTGCACATTGTTTACCAGCTGGTCATTGTTTGATTGGTTTCATGTGAATTGTTTCGACTTAATGACCAATCACTGTCCAGCTGTGTCGGGACTCTGGAAAGTCACAAGTTTTTCATTATTATCTTTTAGCCTTCTGTCTGAATCCTTTCTCTATTCTTTAGTATAGTTTTAGTATAGTATTCTTTAATATAACAAATATAATAACTAAAATAACTATAATTAATATAATATAATATAATATAATATAATAATACATTAGCCTTCTAAGAACATGGAGTCATTCTCAATTCCTCCTCTGTCTGGGGAACCCCGAAAATACCACAGTGGCCTACACTGATCTGAGGCTGGATGAGCTCAGATCATTCAGGTGCTGCCCAGAAGCAGAGTGATGTGGGGAAAGGAACTTTCACCATTTAAAACTGCAGAAAATGCTTAATGTGTTGCAGGAGAGGACAAGGAGGATGCAGCTGAGGGGGTTGGATGGTGCTCCTGGGAGAATATTTTTTGAGCTAAGGAAGGGTTGCAAAACAGGGTAGAAACCAGTGATATGGGCTGGGTTGGACATACAGATTTTTCCCTGTGCAGTCATTTCAGGAATTTCATAGAATCACAGAGTGGCTTGGGTTGGAAGGGACCTTAAAGATGACCTTGTTCCATGCCCCTGCTATGAGCAGGGACACCTTCCACTAGACCAGGTTGCTCAAGCCTTGGCCTTAAACATTTTCAGAGATGGGGAAGGACTTCTAAGGCCTAGGTGAAAGGAGACCCAGAAGGATGCATGTAGCAGTAGTCCTCCCTCTCTTAAACTCACCATCTTTTCTGAAGTGATATTCAGGGAAAACAAGGAGAGCTCCTGAGCTCCCATGAAGGTTTCATGTGAAAGGCTGAAATGAGGACTGCAGGGTGGGGAAAGTCATCGGAGGGTGGGCAGAGAGGACACTGCAGCAGTGGAGTGCTTTACAGGGTGGGTTCAGGCATGTTTTTTCCACTGTGACTCTTGCTGTGTGTGATTTGTGGATCACAGGCAAAGAGAGGAGGGGACTCTGTGGCCCCCCCTTGCAGATTCTGCCATCAGCTCCATCCTCATCAGGCCCCAGAGGGTGAGATAATGGCCAGATACTAAAGCTGAAAGCAAAAATATCTACATGCTGTTGTTTCAAATACTAACAGACATCTTCTGTAAAACCTTTCCTCATCTTTTCTCAGCCAGCTCTGAGCACTCCTTGAGCTGACCCCAATTCTGTCGACTACAGACCAATTACCCAATTGTCAGAGATATGCAAGTCTGGACTGGTTATAGTCCAGCTTTTTCCCTTCTCCACGCCCTGCTGGACTGCTCAGCAGCGATATCCCACACAGGTTACCATGGGGATTGAAATGTACTGGATGTTCTCAGCCCAAAATTACTCAGACCCTCCCTCCTTTCTGCATCTCTTTCCTTTTGCAGATGCATCGTGATGACCTGCACGGTCTGGGTATATTCCTCCCTCATTTCCTTCCTTCCCGTCATGCAAGGCTGGAATGAGATCCCTGGGGTGGACTTTGATGCGGGCAGGGAATGCATCTTTGTCACCAACTGGGTTTTTGCCATTGTGGCTTCTGCCCTGGCCTTTTTCCTTCCCTTCATGGTCATGTGCAGCATGTACTTCTTCATCTACCGAGCCTCCCGCCTCAAGGCCACGCGCATCATGTCCCAGACGCTGGAGATCCACTACCACCCCAACAGCAAGAGGCAGAACCACCTGCAGCTGGAGAACAAGGCCACCAGGACCATCAGCATCATCATCTCCGTGTTTGTGCTGTGCTGGCTGCCCTACTTCGTGCTGAACGTCTGGCTGGCGGCCAGAGGCAGCGACTCCACCAGCACCGTGCTGCTCGGCACCTTCAAGATCATCACCTGGCTGGGCTACTGCAACTCCACCATCAACCCCCTGCTCTACGCCTTCCTCAACAGGGACTTCCAGCACGCCCTCAAGAAGCTGCTGCTGTGCAGGCGCAGGTCTCAGGTGGACGTTGGGGAAGACATGGTCTCCATAGCCACGTTTTCCAAGACCGCTCCAGAGCTGGAATACAGCGCCGCGGTGCCCAACGGTGCCCCCAAGGGCAAACCCAAGTCATAGGAGGAGCAGGTGCTGGAGGTGGTGATACAGAAAGTGCTGGAGCACGTCCCAGTGGAAAAACAAAGGGTAGGAAAAGAGGGGAAGCAGGGGCTGGAATATTACAGCTGGGGACAATACAACAAAGATGCATTTCTTCACCTTCCACATGAAGAACTCAGATATTTTAGAGGCAATTTGTTGTATATTAATGGAACTAATTCATTCCTGGATAATTATTTTTTCTAATGAGCATTTTCTAAGACAAATTCAGCCTTCATTTGGGTTAAAAAAAACAAACTAGTATGATACAATGTGACCTTACATTTGTGTACATCTTGATGATTTATGTCAGGTGGGACAGTGTTTCTTATCAAGCCACTGTAGCTTTTCACCTCAAAGTTTCATTACAGATTGGACCAGTTTTAATAACTCCACCTGTGCCAGTCTGAGTATGGGAATTAGAGGAGGGATGTGCTCACTTCCTAAAGAGGCACCACTCTGCAGCCTGGGCTGTTGCTTAAGGTTCAGCTCACTGGCTTCTGCAACATCTGGATATTCAGAACTTTCCATGGCCTTCTGTGAATTATCTGTGGGTTTCCTTATTAATTCTGGAAGGGGACATTCCCTGTGGCAGACCCCAGGAGATGACAAACACTTGCTTTAACAGCAGGAGCGCTGCAGTTTCAAAGCTACAGGTGGCTGAAGATGGGATGTGAACAGGAATTGTGTGTACACTGTGGTATCTACCAGAGACATGAAAAAATAATGATACATGGAAATGATTATTTTTACTACTCCCAAGTGCTCATCTGGACTTCCAACAGCACTGGCTCCCTGCAGGAAAGCCACAAGTGCCTCACTGAAGGGTTACTCTGAAAAGTTAGCAGGGGACTGTCCTCAGAGGTAGCAAAATGCAGTAGGACCTGCCTGGAGCAGCTGAGCTACTGAAGATGCCCGCACAAGGGTCAGGAGTCCTGTCTCAAGAGCCTGGTAGAAAAACCAGCCCTGACCCGGGGTTCAAGAGTGGTTCTCCTGTGAAATGGCTCTCCATGGAGAGGGTGAGGTGTTCCAGACCCTACAACTCCAGCAACAACATGGAAGTGGTAACTACCTACACCTTCTTCTGGGGGAAGCATCCTGTGGGCACAAAGGTGGACAGGGCAGAAATCCTGCTGCTGCCACCCAGCTCATTTTGACAGAGAAATGAGCTCTTCATTTCCCAAGAAATTTCCCAAGAGCTATGGGGGAGGGAAAGGAGCTGAGGGATAGGCAATATCCTGTGAAAGAATGGGACAGCACAGCAGAACCCCAGGCCAAAGCCCCTTCTGCAGGGCTATCCCAGTTTGGGTGTTCTTCCACAAAACAGCTGGCAGGAAAGTGCCCATCACTCAGAGGAAAACCTCCCAGGTTAGAGAAGAGCCTTTCTCTGTCTAACCCTGCAGCAGTAAGGGACAGAGACAGGGACAACACACTCCAGTGCTGAGAGAACCAAAGACTGACCAGGCAGTTCAGAGCTGAGCAAGGCCAGATGCTTTTGTGGCTGGGCAGGGACCCTGCAGGGGAGGACTCATCCACCCCTTTGAGGGCAAATGTAACATCCCAGAATATGCAGACACACCTGGTGTGAACACATATGCCAGTTCTGGTACTGAAATGCTGCAGGGCCCTTGGAATAGGCAGCTACCCACATCCAGATACACAGCAAGTTAAAAATACCTTAATCCTCATTTCCTGTGCTCCACCTGTAATCACTGGGCTGGCAGGGGAGGCAGAGGCTCCCCACGAGGCCATTTCACTGTGCAGCTGATGCAAACAGGGACATCCAAGGAAGGGAGCTGGGGTTGCTCAGCCTGGACAAAAGGAGACTCAGAGGTGACCTTATCACTCTCTTCCACTTCCTGAAGGGTGACTGTGGTGAGCTGGGTTGGTCTCTTTCTCTGGGCAACAACAGACAGAACAAGAGGACACAGTCTCAAACTGCACCAAGGGAGATACAGGCTAGAATGAAGGAGGAAGTTTTTCACAGAAAGAGTGGTCAAATACTGCAATCATCTACCCAGGGAGGTGCTGGAGTCACCATCCCTTGATGTGTTTAAAAAAAGACTGGATGTGGCACCTGGTGCCATGATCTAGCTGAGGTGTTAGAACATGGGTTGGACTCGATGATCTTAAAGGTCTCTTCCAACCTAGAAATTCTGTGTGAAAGTCAAAGCAAGGCTGAAGGATCTTTTGATAGATTTGGCCAAACACAATTCTGTGTGTGAGGACACACTTAACTCTCCTGCTTTAACCCAGCTAAACACAAGTTCTGTTCCTGATCAGACACTCACTGCAGCATTCTGGTTTCACCTGGACAAGCCAGTATCTGGGAGAGTTATCCAAGAGGATGTGGAAGACAATCACTGTAATCTACTTCTGCCTTATCACAAAGCTGCAGGGTGTCAGTTGGTTTGATTGCTGTCACAGTGTCACACCACAGCAGAGTAATCCCCAGAAGGATCTGAGTCCAGTATCCTTTTAGGAAACTGATCTCAGACACTTCAACAAATTTAAATCTGTAAAAGAGAAAAATAAAATTGTACAAGAACAGCTGTAACAGCATTAAGAATTATCCCTTCTCCCCTCTCTGGTGAGCAATTGCATCCATAATCCACCCAGTTTAGAGCTCAATTCCCTTCTTTCTCCAGATCCTGTCTCACTTCCAAGCAGCACATTGGGTTTTGCGTCATCACACACGCTGTGGCCAGTGTGAGACAGGGAAGCAAAGGAAGTTTCAGGAATGCAGAGCCCATCCTGTTCCCACTGCACAGGGCTGCCATCTGCAGCACACACGGATGCAGGCTTCCAACAGAAGCAACTACTATTTTGTCTTATAAATAAAAAAAGTTTATTAAATCATTTAGACTTGAAAGAAGTCACAGTAATTCAATGCACTCAACAATTACAACAAGTGCATCCTGTACACCACCAACCCAAATGGATTGATTCTGTATTTTATAAATAAAAATTAACATATTTACAGTGAGAAATAAAAGCATGGCATTAGGCAGTTAAATTAGCAGATTACACAAATGCCTACCAGTTGATTTCTTTTAAAAAGTACAAATCTACAAGATTACATACGACATGTATGACTTCATTAGGTTTAAATTTTCAGAATCACAACATTTTTGTACATAATTTTGACTATGGCTCTTCCAACCACTGCCTATAAAACCCCCCATTTAATGGCAAAAAGCTCCTTTTCCTTCTCTACAGCTTCATCCGTGTAAGATGCATTCCCTAAGATCTACTGTAGTGCAGAAGTATGAAATGATTTCCTCTAAAGACAGGCTATGGACAGTGACAATATGTACAACTGTGGTACTTTTTTGCTTTAAAAATAGTGCAGATTCCCAGTTTACCCACCAGGGAAAAAAATGGAGTCAAAGTTAATTTCAAAATCATCTTCATTTCACCAAAGAGCAAGTGACCCAGATAGACACTCACTAGGCTTAGAGACTGTAATTTGCTCTATAAAAATACAGTATTTTAATTCTATTTACATGTTACAGATCTCTCACTCACCCAGCAAGCTGACATTTACAAGCTTCAAAAAATCCCAAGAAACCCCCCCAAAAAAAAGGATAATGGAGCACAATATTGGCAAGCACAGCAGCTGGACCTGTCCACTTAGGAGAGCAAAGGTAAGGAAAATGGAATGTGAAAGGTTTGGTTACTGGGCTTCCTTGGCTGTCAAAGTAAACAGAAATCTGTCCAACATGTCTTATACATTAAACATGGCAAAAAAAGCTGAAGTAAACTATTCCCAAGATAAACATTCTGCATCATAGGATCCTTCTGCTGAACAATCCCTGTGAAACCTGCCAAGTGGAAGAAGTGATCCTGAGGATAGTTATTTGCTTGGTTGTCTGGAATGTTTATTTCCTGATAGGCTCATTGTCCGTGACCTCTGCCTGAGCACGGGCTTGGGTGGGAGCTCCAAGTCTTCAAAGACAGGATTTTCTATGATTGCTGCAGCCTCTGGTCGTTCAGTGGGACTTGGAGAGAGCATGTCCTTCACCATGGTGTACTGAAAGAAAAGACAACACATATTACATGAACCAATCCATAAACTCTTCCTCATTTCATGTCCTGGCTTCAGCTGTGGCTGTGTGAAGTAGTGGGAAATAACCCCAGCTGCTTTCTGAGTTATTTGGGTGTTATTTGGCTCACTAGTTAGATGTGCACTAAATATTTTAAAATGTATCACTGTTCATCTGTTAAAAGTGTCTTTACTGTCATTGGATTCAAGGTTTAATAGGGTTATAAAAAACTTCACATTATTTGCAATCAAAGTTAAATATATGATACATAATTTATATGTAATTTTTAGATTCATGTTTAGCCATCACATATTTAGCCACACTGAATTTTTCTCCTGGCAAATTAGAATTTTTCCTTTAAATGTACAAGTAGTTTGAATATTTGTTTCAAATTTAATCAGAATTATTGTCCTACTCCAGCCCCTTCTCCCAGGCAGCTTTCAGCTGTAAAGCAGGAAAGGCAGGTCTCATTTGGCCACTGGTCTGAAGCTACCCTGAACACCTGAAAGCACCTCAGCTTTTTTCTGGGGAGGTTTTGGACATCACCTCCTCTTTACCTGCCACCACATCACTTTACAGACCTGACTAATGAGAACTCAGCATAATTTCCTCATGTGATTTCCCTCTTGGGAGGTCCAGCTCTGGAGGGGATCCCATACAGCCATGGTGCTACCTAGAGCCTCTCCTTTACCTATCTGAATCTTTGCATTTTCTATTTGGGAATATGGATTTATGCAGGAAATCATGACAGGATGTATGTGAAATGAATGGCTGTAAGTGACAAAGGGAAGCCAGGTAAAAAATTATTCCTGGAGGAACACTGTGACAGAAGTGTCATCGTGCCCATTATTGCAATGTTATAGCTTTGAAATGTGGACAAGTACTGGGATAGGGAAATGCATCTTAATAACAGGAAAGCTGCCTGGTTTCTCCATTTTCACCTACAAAGCAACTGGAAAGCAAAGAAAAAAAAGCTACAGTTATTAATGAAAAGGCTATAATTAATACATCAGCTGTACCTACCTCTTGTGCATATTTCTGAGTGAACAGTGGTGGAAAATTCAGATTTCGAACATCACTTAAAGTCTGCAAAAATATGAAGAATGACACGTAACTTTTCCAAAATATCATTCCTTAGTAATATTAACCTACCCTTCAAAAATATGCAAATTATGCAAAGAAATGAGCCTGCTGGAAAGAAAGCTCTTTGTTTTAAAGTGTTGCTTTAGTGGTTAAAAATCACAACCTAGTTGAACAGGTGAGTTGCTGCTTCCCTAGGTATTGAGCCTGCAACAGAAGGAATTGTGCTGCAAGAATTGTGATCTCTGCAGTTTTAAATCAGTCAGATACATGAACCTGAACTTCCTCACTTCAGCTGAACAAAACCAACAAATCTGTGCACCACCCATAACTCCAGGATGGCCTACACCAGTATTAAGACACATGAAATTATTGTCTCTGCATTACCAATGTAAGCACCTGTCTTTGTTTAACTTTCAAGGAGGAATGAGAAGATTTATCAGCAGTTTGGAAAGCAGTTGAGTTGGGTATTTCTGTGCTCCTTTCATACAAAGGCCACTGGCTCCATCTAGTGACAGTGTTTTTCCCATGTGCAGGATTTAGCACTTCAATTTTCTTGGAAGGATCTGCTTTTACAAAAGTTTGAGCACAAAATACAAGAGTTCTAAAGTTAAATCAAAATTCATTTCACTATTACTCCACTGGAAATATAAAGTGACCAGTTAATAGTGATGTGTAACAGCCAAACTCCTGTTCAAGAGAACTGAGTTTGATGACATTAAAATGCTTCAGAAAACTTTTCCCCTTTTCTGTCAGCTCAGCCTGCATTTAGTGATCTGTTTTCCAGCATGTCACTTGGAAATAAATTGCACTGCTACTGACTAACTGCTCACAGCTTGAGACACAGGCAGCTCTCACGCTCTACCTCTGGGGATTTTTCCAGCCAGTTGTCACAAATTCCTAGAATTTGCTGGGTTACTTGGTCAGGCAGAGCATGTTTTGCTTCAGCAAGCAGTGCTAATGCTTGGCTGAGGCCAATGAAAACCTCAGTGTAAGAACTCAGAAATAGCTACTGAAGCAGTGAAACTCCAGAATCCAGCAATGAAAGGGCAGGAATTTCCTTTTTAGCAAAAGGAGTGAAATGACAGGGAAAATCCTGGCAAGTCAGGGCACTCTTTTAACACTCTCTTCAAGTAAAAAATTTGAATTAGATGGAATTTAGGGTTCCATCCATTCTGATTATTTGCTTTGCTTCTATTCTTAGGAGAGAAACTGGAAGGGTAAAGCCTGTAATCACTGCTGCAAGAGATCTGAGAATCCAGGATGGCTCTTCACCAGGTATTTTGTTTCAGTAAAACTGATTTAGAGAAACTGAAACTGATTTCAGTGCCAGAGGTTCAAATTAAACACCAATTCTAAACACCAGTTCTCCTCTACACTGTACTGGTTGTGCCATTATAAGCCAGAGCATCTTAATCAAGAGAATGCAACAGATGAAGCACTTGGTCAGGCTGCTGTTCAAGCTGTTTCTTACTCTCTGCTAAACTCACTCCATCTTCACCTGAGAATGTAACACCCCCAAGCACATTCAAGTGATAAATACAAGTTTTAATGACTCTTTCTTTCCTAAACAGGTCACTGGTTGTCAGAGAGGAGAGACCTTTCTGGCTGTAGCCCCTGTTCTCCATGAACTTGCTCCTGAGCAAGATGGAGCTCACATTTTAACAGCAAGCAAGAGCTGTAAGGCACCATCAAAGATCCCAAATTCACATCTGCTGCAATGAATGGCAGCAGTTATGGGAAGACTGTGCTTGAAGCTGAGTGAGACTCACAGCTAAGACTCACTGGAGGAAAAGAAACAGCCATTTTTCACCAAGTGCTCTGGGTGAAAAAGCACTGCAGATGCAAATGAAGGAAGAAATAATCAAAATGCACAGCATGGTTCCAATTCTTGAATGAAAACCAAGCTGGCAGGCTTAAAGTCACAAGCTATATTTATTACTTGAGTTCTTGGATATTGTAGTTCAATAGATTCTCTTACTTGGCTTCACAACAGAGGAGCTTTGTAAAGAAATTAAAGCCTCAACTCAACCACACACATTAGGAAGACTGCAGTTTATTTTCAGTGATTCAGGGGGTCTGTACAAGGCTGATAAAGAAGCTGTGCTCCTGGCTGCAAGGCTTTTCTCCAAAGAAAACAGGACAGGAACCTCTTGCCAGCATTTCACCAAGCAAACAGCTGTTTTACACAAATGCTCAAACTGAAGATAACCCAACACCACACATACCTTGACCCTCTCCATCTGTGTGCTGAAGGGGTAGAGCAGCTCAAAGAGAATCAGTCCCAGAGAGAAGATATCCACCTTGTGTGAATAGGTGTTGCCACAGATCTGAGAAAGCAAAGTCAGGGTCAGGGCAATCAAGGTACTGCATGCAATTATCTACAAAGTAAACATCACCCCTGCAAGTTCACCTGTGCAAGTCACCAGCCCTGTGCAGAGCTGGAAGCAGCAGCACAGGAACGTTGGTGAACTTCAGCCATGAGCAGCAGGGAGCAAGGTTCTGATCCTCAGCTCCTCTGTGCTGCAAAGCAAAATGTTTCACCTTACTTAATCTCATGCACAAGAGTGTGTCCTTCCTCAGTTAAGTGGAATCTTTTACAGTTACCTTCCTATACTGCATTAAAAGCAAGAAAAATAAATGCATTCAGTCTGAAAAATTAGCCACTGTTTTTGCTATATACATTTAAATATGCATTTTGGAATTCCATTTACCTCAAAAGTATTTTGATGAGAAAGAATTTAAGTGACTTGATTGCAATGGTTTACTAGGAATGCCTGATCTAAGAGCTCCCAAAAATTCAGGGCTGTTCTGGGCACTGCCAAACACAGCTTGAGAGAAAAGAGCACAAACCTGTTCTGGGCTCATGTAGAGTTTGGTCCCTACTTGTCCTGTGTGCCTGGCATAAGCTGGCATTGGGGTCAGAACTGATTCTTCCTCCTCATCTTGGTCCATAGCAGTCACCAGTCCAAAATCCCCAACCTTTACTATGTCATCCATTGTGAAAAATATATTGGAAGGCTGAGAAAACAGAGAGGTGAAAAGGAGAAAGTAAGTAACAAACAGATGTCTGTGTTTCAGCAGTTATAACACTTGGTTCAAACTCAGAAGCTGTCAAGGTTAAAATTAAAACCACTCATTATTAAAGTGCTGAAGAATAGCAGTTAAGAATTGTAACTATTCAGGAAAAAGGAATTTCTCCTGCATTAAGCACCGTCTCTTCCTGAAGCTCAGACTGCTCATTTCTTGTCATTCAGCAGAGCTTCACCAGCAGCACACAGCTCTGCTGAGGAACACACACAGAGTCAACACTGCTGGGAACAGCACAGGTAAGTGATCACCACCACATGACACTTTGACACCACATGCTGCAGCTCCATCTCCTGGCCTTTTGTATTTTAATCCCTAAGTGCTAGAGTAGTTTGCTCTATTACTAACCAGCCCACAGCACATCATCCCAGTGTTAAATTACAGATACAGTGGGAACAAGGTCTGCTTTTCAGTGTAACTCTGCAGTTTAACATAGAACAGCTGTTTGCATAACAGAATTAAAAGTTTATTTTTGATAGAAGCCTAAGAACTTTGCAATTCATAAAGGCAGCAACACTGATGATCTGTCTTAACTCTCCTTTGGCTTGTTTGCCAACACCCCCATCCTTGGCTTAGCCTACTGCCACAAGAGACTGGAACAGAGGTGTCCCTTGGCCAATGGTGCACACCCAAGACAGTTTTTCAAGAAATTTGCTTCCTAGCTGATAGAACAGCACCCACCAAAAGAATGATTATTCCCTTGAAATAAAACCAATCCAGCTGGGTTACAAGTACAGAGTTTGGGGGGAAGAACAGACTGATCCTGCAAGGGGGAGGAAGCAGCAGGATGCTGCACAGGGCCAAGCTGTGAAGAGCAGGTGGTGCTGGGCAAGCTCCTCTCAGAGCTCCTGGCCCTCGAGGCTGGGAGAACCTGGGCTATGCTCTGCTGACATCAGCCCTGCAGCAGGAGCAGGCAGACAGGCAGAAGGCAATATTTTCCCACAAGATAAAGGACCATATTTCAAAGTCCATCTGACTTGCTCAGTTAAAGACAAACCCACTGCGTGAACAAGAAACAAGACAGAAAAAAGGATTCTTGGGGTTTTGGGGTTTTTTTTGGCAATGGCCAGCTCTGAGGGAAGCCCTAGAGAAACAGTTCCACAGTGCCCACATCCTGCCTCTGACACTGCCTTCTTAGCCAGGTCTTATCCCCCACTGTATTTCCCTGTGATGAGTGTCCAGCCCTTGGGAGTCACGGTGCCTTCAGGGCACAAAAGGCACTGCCCAGTAAACCCACAGTGTCTCCAGGCTCTGGCTGAAGCATTTGCAGAGCACTCACCCCTCAGTGCACACCCACACGGTCAAAAGTCTTGATATGAGAATTTTAATGCTCAAGGAACAAACATCTCCATTAGGAGTTTGTATCCCATTGCCTTGATCTCCATTCTCCTCCTACAAACATACAAGGCAAGATTTGTCTTCTTCCTGGAGGAAAAACTCCTCATAACAAAGTTTATTTTATTACTTCTCTGGCTGGACACTGACTGTCTCTGAACAGGCTGGCACATAGTTTCTACAAATAAGGGGAATGGACACTCTGCTATTGCAAAATACTAGCAAAAAGAAACCATCAAGATCACATTTGGGAGAATAAAAAGCCTAAGGCAGAAGCACTCAGTTTTGATTTAAATCATCAGCAGAGTACAATCAAATATAACCACCCTCTAGTTTAGTTATCTTGCCACCTGCACAAAGAAATTTCTCTCCATATTCTTCAGTCAGAATAAGAATTCTCATTTTTCCACATGAATAAGCTTCTCATACATCTGGAATACTCTGTTTAATTCAATTAATGCTGCAAAATGTATCCAAGACTGTTCTTGCAGTTCTGTGAAACTGATAATTTCTTTTGAGCTGCCAAGCATGACCGACAGCTTATCCTAGGAATAACAGTAAATTCACTTGACAGGCAGACTTTTGTTTCTGCACTTCATTTTCTTCAAAAGAATTTGAACTCTGACCTCTTCACTTCCCCACATGAATTCCTACCATCTTGTCATTGCAGTATCCCTGATTAGCAGGAGCCTAATTAATGCATTTTAATGTGCACTGTTAATTTAAATATTTAGATTACTTCTTGGATCTTTCAATATGCCCATATAGAAATTTATTTTCACACAGATCTACCAGCTTTTGTAGGTGCCAATGAGAGCAAGAATTGGCCTCTGCTATCATTGAACTCTGCCTGCAACCAAGCCAAAGCAGTTTTGCAGGTTATTCAGTTGTTAGTGCTGGCACCAACTCAGGGCTGCATGACCAACCTCTTGGACAAATTACAAAATTAGATGAGATCTCTTCCTAGGAGCTTCTGAAAAGTAGAGAAAATAATTAAATAAACTGGCTGTTGTTTTGACCAAATTAACACATAACAGACAAAAAAACTTTGGGATCCAAGAATAACATCTATACAAGCATAGAAAGTTTCCTGAAGAAGGAAGGTGCTCATCCAGGGAGATTGTTTCCAAGTTGGTTATACCAAGTAAACAAAATTAAATCTCTTGTTCAAACTGCTGCCAGCACTGAACTTTTAAGATGTTCCAACAAAACACTCCACACCTGATTAAGACTAATACAGTTTTAAGAGTAGATCTACATAAGGTTTACTGAACAGTGAGCTCAGTGAAGACTGCATAGGGCTACACCTGACAGTATTGTTGAGAAAGGTTATTAATTAACATGTCTAGCAACATATTAGTACAGGGATTTAATTACTTTTATGGTCAGTTTCTCAAGCACTAAAGATTTGTCAGATAACTGGTTCAAGGTAATTGCCTAATGCTGATGGGAAAAGAAAATACCTGCAAGGGCTGTTAGAGTTTTTCTAACTCTGACATATCCTTTGAGGATTATTTAATTTGAACCTCCTTTTACTGCCACATCTGACATGGAATTTTTTAGCTTTTGCTTGTGCTGATGCCAAATTACCATCTGAGAAGCCACAATCATTTCAGTAATTACTCCACTGAGGTAGGCTACTAATGCCTCCTCAAACAAGCAAAGGGAAACACAAGTGTCCACATTTGGCAAAAGGGATCAATTTCTCAGAGCTAGGCCTAATAAAACTAACTTTGGCTGGGCTCTTCAGTTAAATTTATTTATTTGGTAACACACACTGACACTTCCAGTGCTTTATGATAGAGCAAAATCAGGCACTAGCATGGGAGGATCATGAACAAAATGAAAGAAAAGGTGCAAGTTACTCCTGACTTCAGCTGCACTAAACACCAGAGGTGCAACCACCTTTCCCAGTCTTCCCTGTCTGGATGCTATGAGACATTAAAAATCCTGTGAATCCTTCAGAAAGCTTCCCTGTGATAGCTGGCACTGCCTCACAGTTCTGCTCCAGGACAGTTTACATTTCAATCCCAGAGAAGTATTGCTTAATTTTTACTTTCTCTAACTCTCTAAGAGTTACACTGCTCCTTTTAGGCTGTACTGCTATAGAAAGAAGGAAAATACCAGAATTAGAATCACAGAATTATTTAGGTTGGAAAAGACTTTTAAGATCAAGTCCAACTGCAAGCTCCACATTGCCAATTATCTGCTTCACTTGAAATAGTAGAACAGGATCCAAAATAGCTTTGTCATAGAGCTCAGCTCTGAACAACCCTGTACAAAGAACATGAATTCAAAATACCGTAGGACAAATGCCACTGATCTGTGCCAGGTACAAGAAGTCTTGCTGTAAGAAAGACTTTAATTGCAGTAACAAGTGATGAATATTTATTTCCTGGAGCACTGCACTCCAGATTATTGTACAGACATTAATTCAGCTTTTTTAACACCCATGCTGAGGTCACTGAGAGGAGTCAGCTATTTTGGCAGGCTTTGTCTGCAGTGCCACATTCCTCCCACATACAGCAACCTATGGATACAAACCTTGAGATCCCTGTGCATTAATCCTTTGCTGTGCAGAAAGTCAACAGCTTCAGCAATCTGCAGAAAGATCTGCAGACACTCTGTCCTTTCCCTCTCCTCTATGGTGCATCTTCTGCTCATCCAGTCTTTGAGGTTCTCTTTCCGGCAGAGCTGCATCTGGATGTACAGATACACCTTGGGAGAGGTGGGCTTCACTTTTTCTGCAGTGTTTTTAGAAAGGTCCAGGCTTAAACTCGTTGGTCTTGGAGGAGAAACAGAGAGGGGACTTCCTGAAGCAGATTTCTTGTTATCAGATTCCTTTGCACTTTTCCCTTTATCCTCAGAAGGACTCTCATTATGTGAAACATCAATTTTATCTTCCTTACTAGAGGCATTTCCACAGCCAGAATCCTCAAACACAATAGAGGAGGAGGTCCCTTCCTTCAGATGTACAACAGGAACAGCTGAAGGACAAATTTCCAAGGAGTGTCCCAGCTCATTACTGTTGATAGTACTGTCTTCTACATCACAGCCTGTAAGGACACTATCCTGAAGGTTTAATAGTGGATCTTCTGAGTGCTGCAAGTCCTTGTTGTCTGTGTCAGAAAATTCCAGAGGAGAAAACTGGCTTCCAGATGAATCTGACTGACCACAGGGTATCCCCACAGACCTCACCCTCTCTGATGAAGCTGC